CCTGTCTAGTGGCTGGGGCTGGTCTCCATGGAGACCCAGCCGCAGCTGCGCTGTGATGGTGCAAGGCTGGAGTTGCCATGGAGACTGGACCCATCTGTGCTGGCAGGGCATGCAGCACGGCAGGGCAGGGGGCTACTCCAGAGCTGCTGGGATCTTGAGGCGGGGCAGCTCGGTCCCGGGCCAGGGCAGAGGTGCAATTCACTGCCTGCAGGCCCCTGCCTGGAGCATGTAGGCTTCAGATTGAAGCTCTGCCTTGGCCCCAAACCAAGCTGCCCCCACCGCAAGATCCCAGCAGCTCTGGAGCAGCCCCCTGCCCTGCCCTGCTGTGGGCCCTGTCAGTGCAGGTGGGGCCAGTCTCCATGGCTACCCCACTGTTGTGCTATCACAGTGCAGCTGTGGCTGGGCTCCAGCCATGCAGACAGAGCCTGCTGGGAAATGGAGTCCACTTCTGGCTGGATTTAGCCCATGGGCTGGACTTTGCCCGCCCCTGTTTTAGCCCCACACACATGTCCTTGCAAAACCAGATAAGGGCTTGTGCTGTTGAGCCTTATTCCTGTGGCTTGAGCTAAACCAGACTAGTATGATTCTTGCCATGCAGCAGGGTGGCAATTTAAAAGCTAGCAGCAACTCTGGTCCCAGCCTCTGGCTTTTAAATTGCTGCTCTACTGCTCAGCTGAGCAGTAGGACAGCTAAGGAAAGCTGGTGGGAGCTGTCCCAAAACCAGGGACTGCCCAGCTTGAGAAAGAAGCAGAGAACAGTGGCTGCTGTTCCCCTCACCATCGGGTCTATGGGATGGGGCAGCAGATGCCCCCACACACGTGTTCTCAAGACTGGGGTGACTGCAGTCTCAGGAAGGTGGGGAGACTGTCCTCTGGCTCCACTCCTCCTGGTCCACAGGAGAAGTTACGCTGGGGGAAAGTGTACAGGTGCTCAGCTTCTTGGGAGCAAATTAACCCGAGTTGTAATTTTTTTCCTAGAGTGGCCATTTCTACTCCAGGAGAAAAAGCCTGAACATCTATATACTTTTGGTTTCTATTAGGAGATCAGTGATTTTCCTGGTAGAAACCGAATGTCTGTTTCCTAGACTAAGTCCAAAATTTGCGCAAAGAACTTAATTATAGGACATTTCCTTAAAAATGTGAATCAATAAATTGTAATAGCTTGTCTAGTCCCTCTACATGGAGCCTGGTTCAACTTTGTTTTCTTTTGGGAGCCAGGCTTGCAGTATCAGAATTGGGGTGGCTTTTAACAAAAACTTAATTGTAATTGTATCTTCTGTTGGAGATTCATTTGAAATGATTTTTTCAATTTCTTCCAAAAGCATATCCCAGCCTTTGCTAACACAGTGGAGAATATTTTATCTGAAAGAGTTAGATTCATTTTCCTTTTTTGTTTGCAACAGAAACTTTAGATTGGGTAAGAAATTAAGAGATAAAAATTTACTATGGAAGGAATTCATTCTCCTTGCTCATTGAGGTTACTCAGAAAATCCTTGATTACCTCAGTCTATCATTTGTTCACCTAAACATATACAGTATTGAAAAATACGAACAAAGGGGAAATGTAATCTTTGCTGGGTCCATTATTATGCTTCTACTGCACTTTGCTTCTGTTCTCCTTTTTCTGTAATTGCAAGAATATGGGTGTGTATCTCTAGCTTTTCTATACAGAGAAGGGAAGGAGGAGTGTAGTATACCAAAATACATCCCTAGTGTAATCCCACTGGAGATAATAGAGTTATATTGGGTTTGAATGTAACCCATAACACATAACCCGTAACCTCATTTTCAGCTGGGTAGGAGTTGAAGGTCTCTGTGCCTTTATTTAGAAGCTGCAGCTTCCATTAAATTTAATTACTTCTCCCTGTGGCTGTAAATAGAAGGTGGTTCTTTTTAAATTTAATTCCTTTCCCTGGCAGCTTGCATGATAAAGGTGTGGCTATTAAAGGAGGGTTTCTTCTAAAAGGAAGCAGATTCAATCCAGGATATATTGTAGAGGAGAGATTTTCAAGTTTATGTAGAAACTGGTAAACTCCGCAGAAACACAAAAAAGAGCTGTTGTAAAACATACCAAGACTCCTTGGTTTAAAAGAAAAAAATGCATTGTTATTTTTGAAAACTAAACAATAAAGGTAGACAAGCCAAGGACAGTGTTATACTTCAGCAACAGATGTACTTGGGATTAAATAAAAATCATTGTGTCTAAGGAGTGTAGAATCAGGCCACTGTCTAGTTGGCTCATGTTTATGATGATACTCAAAGGAAAGGAAATAAATAAATAAATATATAAAAAAATAACCTTAATATGTTTTATAAAGTTTATTGCCAAAATAACTTAAGATAGCTATAATCTCAGCTCACTAAATGCCTATGCATCTCTTGGGATACTAACAGTGCACAATGCATATAGCATGCAACCGGACATTCTCCACATCGCCTTTTTATATTCTTTCCTACTCTAGAGATTTCCTAACATCCCAGTGTTTAAAACTGACCCTCAAAGTACTTGATCCTTTGGCTTCCATTGATTTCAGCTTAGGTTCCACCAAGCCCTAAAAGGAGTTTTTATGTGATGCTTTAAATCTGTAAAATACTTATCTATGTAGTCAATAATCATCCTGTTGGAATATAGGTGTTGCTCTTCTGAAAATGTTAACCATTTTATCCTACAGCACCACCAGTAGTGTTTATGAAGTGCTCATCACCATGGTATCCAAGTGCACTTCAGTTTGAGAGGGATCATATGATGTGGTTATCTGTGACAGCAGGAGATTGGACTTGATGACACTAGAGATACCTTTTAGTCCTGTATTCCTGGGTTCATATAGATTAGATTAATACCATAAAACATTTTTCCTAAAGATGGGACATACTTATGTGAGGTCATCATATGTTCAGTATTAAAAACCCCCACTTGTGTTGCATAATACATCATGAAATATTCAAGTACTCTGAATTCTGGCTCCCAGGCTTGATCTGCTCTGCCTGGATTGGAAAAACTTGATCTGAGGCAAAGAAGCAGATCAAAGAAAGGCTGATGTTTGTCCCTTTTCCTGTGCCTTTTTGCTTCTTGATTCCTAGTTCTCCCAGACTTGGTTCAGGGAACTACAAAGATGGGGAACTGAAGGGCAGGAGGATGACCACTTTGCAGAGAGACTTTCTCTCCAGCCTCTTTGAGGGGCCAGAGCCAGGGTTTTGCCCTGACTAAGTGGATCCTTGAATCAGTCATTGTATTTTTGAGGCCTAACAGTAACAAGACTATTTAGAACATAAAAATATAAGAACTACGATTTACTGGATCAGTCTGTAGGTCCAGTATCTTGCCCAATATCCTGTGTCACACAGGGATAGAGAGTGGATGCTGGAAGGGAGAGTGAACAAGTACAATCAGGGTTTTTTCCATTGTTTCTCTCCCTTTAGTAGCCTCCAGCATTTAAGGTCTAGGAAGTTCTGAACCAGAGGCTGTACCCCTAACTCCCATGTTGGTCTGTAACGTGCTTACTGTGTTATGAATATGAATGAGAAAACATTTTATATCCATGAAGCATGCAGTCTTGAGGAAATATCTTGTAGCTATAATACGCTCAAAGGAATGCTGAAATATTAAATCAGATATCCTATAAAGGATTCCCTTGATGCTGGGATATAACATGAAAAATGATGTCTGTTCCAGTAAAGGGGGAAATATGGTCATATACTACATTTATACACATGCTCTGGGTGGTGGTGGGGGGTGCTTTAATTAGAGTGGCTCTGAAAGCTGCTCTAATTAAAGTGCCTGGAGCATCACGTGTATCAGTGTCCCCATCGTGGGTGACTAGTGCCTTCTAAGTCTGGGGGGCACAATTTGTGGGTGGGCGGGCCAAAAGCCCCATATCCATGCCTATATTTCTGTGACAATAAATTGAGTAACAGAAACATATCAAAGCATTCACGTGAGTTATCCTATCTGCATGGAGCAAAGATTTGTGTGTTGGGTCAGGTGAACACAAGTGTTCCTCTGGCTCTCCCTACCACTTTACTGTTGTTCCTAGGGGTGGGTCATGGGTCCACTAACAGGAATCCTGGCCCTCCAGGCAGCTAGACCACAGGGCCCTGGCTATGCTTGTAGAGTCACACTCACAAATCAAATTCAAACTAAATAAAAAGTGTGTACTTAGCTTTGTGCCCTGGGAAGCTCTGCTGAGACCTTCATTTTCACTACAACTGGTGGACAAATTACCTAGAAATCACAAGGAAAATAAAACATACAAAAAATCACAGATATGTTCAGGAACATCCCACAAGCCAAACCAAATAAAGAACATGTACTTAGCTTTGTGCCTTGGGAAGCTCTGTTGAGACCTTCTTTCTTTTCTTCATCTGTATCACTGCGGGGATGGGCAAAATACCTAGGAATCATAAGGAAAACACAGAAATAATCTGAGGTAGCAGCATGGTCCTTGCCACCCAGCAACTGCTTTGACTGGCTGGTTCCACTGACCTGATGAGGAACTAAAGCATGTACAGGCAGCCATGCAACTGCCTGCTGTGTCTTAAATTGTCAGGACACCTAGCACTCCTGCCACAGACCCTGCCCCATCTCCACTTACACTTTCCATGCTTAAGGAGCCAGCCCCCTGTTACTTACTTTGTTAGGAGAATTGTACGTGTCAGTCCTTTCTGCTGGCAAACTGTGCAATCATGTCAGGTATGTTGATGATGAGGAGTGCATCAGGAGCTCGGTGAACAACAGTTCACTAGAGCACCCCCAGGGAAGACTAGGACCAATGGATACAAACTCCTGGAAGCTGCTTCAGGCTTAATACCAGGAAAAACTTCTTCACAGTCAGGGTGTCCAGACTGTGGAATAAACTCCCTCCAGAGGTGGTGCAGTCACCTACCTTGGAGGTTTTCAAGAGGAGACTAGACAGTCACCTTGCTGGAGTCATTTAACCCCAGTTATCTTCCTGTCGGGGGGGGCTGGACCCGATGATCTGCAAGGTCCCTTCCAGCCCCTAACTATCTATGAATGTTGATAGCTTGTTTTTCAATCTGTAGTATTTCCAGATTAGAAAGATGAGCATCTGTCATCGTGGTCCTCAGGTAAGTTTTCAGCTGCTTCAGTGAAGAAAAACTTCTTTCTGCTGATGCTGTAGTAACTGGGATAGTTAGGTAAAGTATGAAGAGGTTTCCCAGATTTGGGAGGGTATCATGCAGTGACATTTCATGAAATAACTTCACTCTTCTTTTAAGCTGGGGGCACTCTGCTTCACTACTCATGCCAGCACTGCCATGAATTTCAAACAGTCTGGAAAATACATTGATTTCAGACCTCAGATCTTCTTGAGCAATCTTGTAAGTTTTGGAAACAGTGCCTATGCTTTCCTTTGATGGGGTCTCAGAAGAGAGAACATCTTCCAGGGACTTGAAAATGTTTAGCTCATTCTCAGTGAAGTGGTCTTCGATGTCACTAATAAGAGTGTCTAAAATTCTGTATAGTATTTCTGTCCTGTAATACTCCTCTGACTTCTCAAAGAAGGACATTTTCCCCTCTTTTCAGTTTTGGGGGAACAACCCTTTTATAAGGGACACAAGGTCCAGGATATCCATTTTTTTGGCACAGTTCATTAGCATTGTTGAACACTTGGGTTGCAAACTCCTCACTTCTCACTCCTTGCAATACAGACACTGTGGATTTAGCCATCACTCTTGCTTTATGAAATGTAGAGTCTTTTGATTGAAGAAGTTTGGATAGGTGGCTGGTTTACATAAGCACTCTCCTCATAAACAGCATGCGGTACAGGAAGCTGAAGTCTTGCAGGCATCGGAGAAGTACACAACCTTCAACTCTAGCTTTTGAAGCCCCGCATTCAATTTAATCCAGAGCTTCAACTACTTCATCAAAATTTTTTAAAAGAGCTTTGATAGCCTTGGCTTGACAGTTCCATCAAGTGTCACTGAGCCGTTTAAGAGTTACTGGTCCACCAGAAAAAGAAGCAGTTTCTGACTGTCTTCTTTCTTACACTATTTTTTCAAAGAAAGCATGTCTCCTTGGGCTTCCTTCAGTGAAATCCCATAGTTCGTGAAGAAGTGTGAAGGCATTCTGGACAGAGGGAATGCAAGATACCACATCCGCTATGCACAGATTTAATATATGAGCATAACAGTGAACATAATAAGCTAAAGGATTCTCACTAAGTATCCATGAAGTCACACCTTCATAGGGTCCTCTCATGCTTGCAGCTCCGTCATAGCACTGACCTCTTAGAGCCAAAATATCAAGTCCCAAATCTGACAAAGCAGTCTTAATCAGTGTGGTAAGTGAAGCACCATCTGTCTGCAGCATCCTATAGAAGCCAATAAATCGCTCTTGTATTTCAAAGGACCGGTTTACATATCGCAGCATGAGAGCAACTTGTTCGTGCCTGGAGTTATCCATTGTTTCATCTGCTATGATGGCAAACACTCCAACTTCCTTCTTTTACTATTGAATTCTGGACTGGTGAAGCCATAATCTCAAGTATTTCATTTTGATAGGAGCTGTGTAGGTAGGTGAAGAAATTCTCTTGGTTAATCATAAACTGCTGAATCACTTTGTTGTCTTCACTGCACAGTTTCATCAATTCCCGCAAGTTTCCTTTATTTGCGGAATCTGCTCCCTCATCATGGCCTCTTAAATGTATGCCTTGGCAAGCTCAAAACAACACAGTCTTTATTACAGTTTGGAAGTATGCTCGGTCTTCATCCACTGTTTTTTTCCTCTGGCTCTCAAGTTGTGATGTAGCACTCCCCCTTTTCCTGGACTGCAGCCAACCCCACCATTTAGCCTGATGTGCTTCAGACCTTGAATGCTCACAAAATCTTTCATTGGCTCTCCTCCATGATTTAAAACCCACAATTTGGAATGCTTGGTCACCTGTTTGGGACCTGCCAAATGCTCAGCAGCAGAAGCAGAAAGTTGTGTCCTGACAGACACTGTATTCCAGCCATTTGTGCGCTGTACCATTCTTTTCTGAATTTTCTTATTTTATTGCTGGCTGGAGTGCCTGGAAACACAATTATGGGATGATATGGCCCTTCCTCAATATATAGCAAAGTTGCATCTGGCCCAAAGCAAGGGTCTTGCTACTGGAAGCTGTACTAATATCTGTCTGCGTGCTTGTGCATGATGTGCCATCCCAATCTGGAGTGTCACTCTCACTGTGGCTGCTTCTGGTACCATAATTCAGAACTGCACTGCTTGTGCTGGGGACTGGACTCTCGGGGAAGCTGGAGTCTTGGCCTTCTTTGAGCAGAAAAAGTCCAAAGTGAACTGTCTCTTTGCCATTCTGCAAAGCTAAAGAAAAGGTACATTATTAGTACCTACCAACAGTGAAACATGGACTTAGGGTGTGTGTGAAGGGACCTGAGCTACAGATTTTATGTTCTCTTGGCAGGATGAGCACGAGAGGCAAAACAATGCACAGTTGCAAGCAGTCTTTAGTTTTAGTTGCTTCGAATGGTTAAATGAGATATAGATTGCTCCCTTTTCAATCAAGCACAAAGCATAGGAGAACTGGAGGTTAGAATCCAAACAGTGTTAAAGTGAACCTTCCCAGTGAGTGCTCAAATTGCTTTTTCTGTTCTCCATGTTCTGTGAGCTCCCTGCTTACAAGCTTGAGTGTTCAGTGATTTCCTTTTTGTCTTCATACCCCCTCCAGAAGAATCAGCAAATCAGAAATGTCAAAAACCATTAGAATTAAAATACCAATATTTCATAGTTTCATAGTTTCTAGGGTTGGAAGGGACCTGAGTAGATCATCTAGTCCGACCCCCTGCCATGGCAGGAAAGAGTACTGGGGTCAAACAACCCCAGCAAGGTGTACATCTAGCCGCCTCTTAAAGACCCCCAGGGTAGGAGCCAGCACCACCTCTCTTGGAAGTTGGTTCCAGATCCTAGCCGCCCTGACCGTGAAGTAGCGCCTCCTGATAGCTAGCCTAAATCTACCCTCTGCCAGCTCGTGACCATTATTCTTGGTCACTCCTGGTAGTGCTCGGGGGAACAGGGACTTCCTCAGTGCCTGCTGGTCCCCTCTGACTAGTTTGTAACAGGCCACTAGATCCCCCCTCAGCCTTCTCTTGTGGAGGCTGAACAGGTTCGGGTCCTGTAGCCTCTCCTCATAGGGCCTGCCTTGCTGCCCCCTGACCATGCGAGTGGCCTCCTCTGGACCCTCTCCATGTTGTCCACATCCATCTTGAAGTGCGGTGCTCAGAACTGGACGCAGTACTCCAGCTGCGGCCTGACCAGTGCCGCATAGAGGGGGAGGATCACCTCCTTAGACCTGCTTGAGATGCATTTGCGGATGCATGACAAGGTAGGTTTGGCCTTCCTGAGGGTCTGTGAGCGTCCCCGGGGTGGAGGGCCCCAGCCCCAAATGACATGGCCCAGTGCCCTCCCTCCCCCAACATGCTGCTGGCCTGTGTGGCAAAAAACTGCTTCAGGGCTGGGTGGGGGGGCACAGCACACCACTACCCACACCTCCCTGGGCTGCCCCACAAGAGCCCCAGGCTTACCTTTCTCCTAGTCCCAGCAGAACAGTGTTTAGTTCCAGCAGGAGGAACACTATCAGTGGAAGCAAGGGGCTATCACCAAGGAACATTACACCTCCATTGCTCATGATTGCAGGGAAGCAGTTAGGAAGGCCAAGGCAGAGATGGAACTAGGGCTAGCGACCAGAATTAAGGATAAAAAATCCTTTTTCAAATACACAGGGAATAAGAAGAAGGCACCAGGTAAAGTGGGGCCCCTGCAGGACAGGCTTGGCAATCTGGTGATTGCAGCAAAGGAAAAAGCTGATCTCTTCAATGAGTTCTTTGCCTCCATAGTTCTGAGCAGGGACTGGGACAACTCCCCCACTATGAACAGACTTAGGGGACATGACGCCATGCCTAAGGTCAGGGACGATCTAGTTAGGGAACTCTTGGAGGGGCTGGATGTGTTTAAATCAGCAGGTCCAGATGCTTTTCATTTGAGGGTACTGAGGGAATTGGCGGAGGTCATAGTAGGGCCCCTGGCATGGCTGTATGAGCACTCATGGTGCTCGGGCCAGGTCCCAGAGGACTGGAAAAGGGCCAGTGTGGTCCCCATTTACAAGAAGGGGAGAAAAGAGGACCTGGGTAATTATAGACCAGTTAGTCTTATGTTGGTCCTTGGGAAGACCTTTGAGAAAATTATCAAGGAGCACATCTGCAGGGGCCCAGCATGGGAGATAATGCTCAGGGGCAGCCAACACAGGTTCACTGAGGGCAGGTCCTGCCTGACTAACCTTGCTTCCTTTTATGACCAGGTCACAGAGTCCTTGGATGTGGGTGTTGAGGTGGATGTCATCTACCTGGACTTCAAGAAGGCCTTTGACACTGTTTCTCACCCCATTCTCACAAAAAATAGGCAACTGTGGCATTGATGCCTACACAGTCAGATGGATGGCAAATTGGCTCGATGGTTGTACCCAGAGAGTGGTGGTGGATGGGTCGTTTTTGACTTGGAGGGATGTGGGCAGTGGAGTTCTCCAGGGCTTGGTCCTTGGGCCCGTGTTATTCAAAATCTTTATCAGCAACTTGGAGGTGGGCGTGGAAAGCACACTGTCCAAATTCGCTGATGACACAAAGACATGGGGAAAAGTGGGCACACTAGAAGGGAGGGACAGAATCCCTCTAGATCTAGACAGTTTACAGAGGTGGGTGGATGAGAATAGGATGGAATTCAACGCAGACAAGTGCAGCTTGCTGCAGCTAGGGAGAAGGAACCAGCAACACACCTATAGGCTGGGGAGCACCTTTCTCAGCAACAGAGTGGCTGAAAGGGATCTTGGAGTCAGTGTTGACTCCAGGATGGATGTGAGTTGCCAATGCAAGGAAGTGGTCAGTAAGGCTAACTGCACCTTGTCATTCATCTACAGATGCATCACAAGCAGGTCCAGAGAAGTGATCCTTCCCCTCTATGCAGCATTGGTTAGGCTGTAGTTGGAGTACTGCATCCAGTTCTGGGTGCCACACTTCAAGAGGGATGTGGCTAACCTTGAGAGGGTCCAGAGGAGGGCCACTCACATAGTCAGGGGGCAGCAGGCCAGGCCCTACGAAGATAGACTAAAGGGCCTGAATCTATTCAGCCTCCACAAGAGAAGACTGAGAGGGGATCTGGTGGCTGTCTATAAACTCACCGGGGAGACTAGCAGAAAATAGGTGAAGCTATGTTCCCCCGGGCACCACTTGGGATAACAAGGAATAACGGCCACAAATTGATTGTGAGTAGGTTCAGGCTTGATTTCAGGAGGGATTACTTTATGGTTAGGGCTGCCAGGCTCTGGAATGGGCTCCCAAGGGAGGCTGGTTAGATATCTGGCTGGGGTATTATGATACCAGCACTCATTCCTGCCCAGGGCAGGGGGTCGGACTTGATGGTCTGTTTAGGTCCTTTCCGACCCTAGAAACTATGAAAAGCGCCATTGCTGGTGAGATTGGTGCTGGAGATGGGAACAGGCTCTTTAGGTAGGGAGGGGGACGGAGGGGCCACACAGGGGAGGGAGGGAGGGCAACGCTCTGGTTGGCTGGAGCGCTCGCTCTTGGGGAGGGCACCAGCACTCTTGGGGTTGGGGGGCACATGCACCCCTGTGCACCCCCTACCAGTCGCCACTGGTCCCCATGCTAAAAAATGGCAGCGGCGGGCACTTTAACTAAAGCTCATTGAATAAGCTTTAGTTAAAGTGCCCCCACTACCATTTTTCAGCATGGGGACACTGATACACATGATGCTGGAGTCTGCTGGAGTGCGGTTATTACCATGCTCCAGGAGACCCAATTAATCGAGTCTGCTCTAATGTGCTGCAATTACAGTGCTTTGGGGCAGCCTCAATGTACATGTATAGGCACCCACTGAGCCCTACATTCCTTATATCTTTTATTATATTAGGAACATAAGGCTGGAAGGGGCCTCTAGGGCCATCAAGTCCAGTCCTTGATTTTCAGGCTATCCCTGTGAGCGAACAGGGACAGCAAACAGGGCAGTTTTGCAAGTGATTTGCAAGAGGAGGAAGAGGAAGAGGATCCAGGTACCAGGCACCAGATCCTGCTCCTGGAAGGTAAGTGAGCCACAGCTGTCTGTGTGTTTTGCTTGATGAGTGTTTGTTGGTTGGCTCTATGTTTGGCTGTGTGCTCTGAGCAGCTGGGAGTGCTGCTACCTGAGTGATTGCTGCGTGATTGCTGCCCCTGTCTGACAAAAGCCCTAACTAGCAGGTTGAGCCAGAACAGGCCCAGAAGGAGCCAGGGACAACAAACAGGGCAGTTTGCAAGCAGTTCACAGGTCAGTTCACTGCTCCACTCTTTGAAAGGGAGACTTTAAGGTAAGTTATTTAATGATTTAAGAGCAACTAACTTCAATATTTTGCATAAGTAGCTAAAACTCAGTATTTAGATCAATACTTAAGTCCCTTGTTTAATTAGAGATCAGAGGGAGTGGGGCATTCACTAGGGAGTTTACCCAGAAACTCTCCCTTTCACCTTCCTTCACTGTAAGCTTGGTGAGAGGGAGCAGATTAGCAGGGAAAAGGGAACCTTTCAGGACCAAGGAGCAGCAAACAGGACAGCTTACAGGGAAGTTTGCTAGGGAAGATCTGCTTGGAGAGGGGGACAGAAAGAGGTAGATGGTGAATTGAAGATACCCAGAGAGATGGCTGGAGGACATTGTAATACTAGAGCCACTGGCACTGCTAGCTCTCCCTCTGCTTGCATCTGTGAGGTGTCTGTCCAGGCAGGGCCACTCACCATCAGGGCTTCTACCTAGGTTGTAGTTTCACCGAGGGGGACTGCAACTTGCAGGATCCTTCCAGTGATGGCCAAGTGGGGTAGTGCCTGTGATGTGAGGGGTACCCCCTGGTAGTGTCCCTCATGAAGCAGGTAAGAGAGCTACAGAAGGAGGCAGCAGGGCTTAGAATCATCCTCAGCCTTGAGGACTTTAGTTTGATGCTGGAAGGGACCTCTAGGACTGCACAAGAACGACTGCCAAAGGCAGCACTGGAGAAGGAAGAGGACATGGACTTCCTGGAAGATGGAAGCTGGAGTCTTGTGACTTCTGGCAGCAAACAGAAGTCTTCATCGCCACCTGCAGCAGTTTGCCTGGAGCAGGGTTTTTCAACCTTTTTGGATCAATGTATCCCCAGTGGCTAGATGCAGAGCAGTGTACCCCTTGCAGCTGGATGCAGAGTGAGGGGGTGGGTGTAGGGGGAGTGGCATGTAACCAAATGCAGAGCGGTGGCAGCTGCTGTGTGTGAGCTTCCCCCGCCTCCCGTGTCTGGCTGGGTGGGCGGCACCTGCGTAGCAGTGCAGGATGGTGCATGGCGGTACTCTGGCCCTGCTGTACCGCATGTATCCCCTAGGGCTTTCTCAAGTACCCCCGGGGGCATGTGTATCCCCAGTTGGCAAACCCAGGCCTGGAGAATAGATATGAAGCCCTAGCAGCAGAGGCAAGGAGCATATTCCATCAGCTGAAGAGTCCAGGCCAGGCCTCCCCAAGGTTGGAGCAAGAGAGACCACTGCTGTCAAGAAGTGATGGGTGGTTGTAGTTGGAGACTCCCTTTTGAGGGGGATGGAGACATCCATCTGCTGGCCTGGATTGTTATCTTAGGAGGTCTGCTGCTTGCCTGGAGCCTGGATCT